CCTGCGGGGGACCCCACGGTGTCCCCGTGCGCTGCTGCTGTCCCCACGCGGTGGGGTCCCCGCGCGCCCCAGCCTCACCTGGCTCCCGACGGGCTCCATCCTGCTCCCGCTTGCCGGCTCCTTCCTGCTCCGCTCGGACTCTGCAGTGGCACCTTCGGCTGCGGCCACTGCGGGCACGGGGACATGAGGACGGGCTCAGTGGCATCCCCTGTCCCCCTCCCATTGCAGACCCCGTCCCCCTCCCCATTGCAGACCCCATCCCCCTGTCCCCATCCCCATTGCATCCCCTTTCCCCCTCCCCATTGCAGACCCCCTCCCCATTGCAGACCCTGTCCCCCTCCCCATTGCAGACCCCGTCACTCTCCTCATTGCAGACCCCGTCCCCCTGACCCCATCCCCATTGCAGACCCTGTCCCCCCGTCACCCTCCTCATTGCAGACTCTGGTGTCCCCGTCACTGTCCCCATTGCAGACCCTGTCCCCCTCCCCATTGCAGACTCTGCTCCCCCTGACCCCCTCCCGATTGCAGACCCTGTCCCCCCATCACCCTCCTCATTGCAGACGCTGGTGTTCCTGTCACTGTCCGCATTGCAGACCCCGTCCCCCTGCCCCCCTCCCCATTGCAGGCCCCGTCCCCCTGCCCACTCTCACTCACAGGGCTCCTGCCCTCAGTCCATGGCTCCAGTGGTCGCTGTCCCCAGGGATAAGAGGGGGGACACGATGCCCCAATCCCCGCTGTCAGAATCCGTCCAGGCCCAGAAAGACCCCGGAGCTCCTTCCAGCCGGCAGTGGGAGCAGGAATGGCATCGGCTCCGGTGCGCCACAGGGAAGGGCTTTACCCGGAGCCACCCAGCATGGGAGGGGGGGCCCAGGCGTCCTGGTCCCCTGCGAGCCGAGGCCAGGGTGGCGTTTCCTTCCCACGCCGATGCCGGAGAGGTCAGTGGCTTCATAGCTGGCATTCCCGGGGCGGGACGCGGCTGCCGCCCCGTCCCTGCCAGGCTCCCACGCGCCCGCGGCACAAGGAGCCCCTTGTCCCGCTCCCCCGGGGCCGGGAATGCCAAGGATTTCAGGGACGCGGTGCCCGGGCAGCCCCATCTCCTCCTGGCCACAGGGCTCCCCAGACGGGGATGCAACAAGCACAGAAAGAGCTGATTTCCTTGGAAATCTTCCCGTTTGCCCTCATTCCACCGCTCCGGCACATGGAAGAGCTTCATCCCAAGCTCTTGACTTTTGTTTTATTTTAATTAATTAATTAATTAATTAATTAATTTTCATTTATTTTTATTTATTTATTTATTTATTTATTTATTTATCTATCTATTTTCTTAGCTTGCAAAATAAAATATTGCCAGGAAAAGCAACCCCAGGATTTCCCGGGCAATGGCCCGGGAGGGAAGCGGCAGCTGGGAGCTCAGGGACAAGGAGCCCCAGAGCAGCACACGGAGAACCGGGCTCCAGAGCCAGCCCTGGCACCGGTACCTGGCGATCCAGGCCCATGGCACCCGCGGGGGCTGCCGCCCAGGACGCCTGGGCCCTCCGCAGCCGCTGGAAAATGTGCTTCGTTGGCCGTTCCTGGGGCTGGGGGCTGGGAAAAGCCCTCGAGCCCCGGAGAAAGGGGCAATTGATGGGCCCCGCGGGGGCGGCGCGGGAATTCGGGAGCCAGCGGGAACTGGGCGCCCGCGAGAGCAGCGCCCGCGTGTGATGAGCTGGCATCGGGTCTCAGCCACGCGCCGGAGCTGCTGCTCGCCACGCAGCTAATTGCGGCCACATCAGCAGCTGTCCCAAACGTGGAGGGTCCCCAAGGGTGCTGCCCCCCCCCCAAACCCCCCCTCCGTTCCTTGGGGCTGTGTCGCTTCCTCCCCGGTGCCAGCGCGGGGACCGCGGCCGCCCCAACGGCGCCTCCCGACAGCCCGGTCCCACGCGGAGCCCAGCGGGACACACGGATGCAGCGGGTCGCGGCTGTATTATCCACATTTCCAAGCACAGTTCACGGCCGGAATGCCAGAGCCGCCGGCTCCAGCCGACGTCTCCGGAGCAGCTGCAGATCCCAAACCCGCAAATCCGCTCGCTTTAACCGTCCCGCTTGCAGCCCCAGCGCTGCCAACAGCTCCTGCAGCCGCCTGTCTCCAAGGAGCCCGGCAGCGTGCGGAGCAGCCCGGGAATGCCCGGAGCAGCCTGGGAACGCACAGAGTCCAGGACTGAATGCAGCATCCCAGCACTGCACAGAGCATCCCAGCACCGCATGGAGCGGTTTGGGAATGCGTGGAGCATCCCAGTGCTGCCCAGAGCAGCTTGGGAATGCGTGGAGCATCCCGGCGCTGCAAGGAGCAGCTTAGGAATGCATGGAGCATCCCAGCACCGCATGGAGCGGTTTGGGAATGC